CGAAGGCCACAATTTCTCCCGACCCGAAGGCTCGACCAGAAGGCCACAATTTCTCCCGACCCGAAGGCCCGACCCGAAGGCCACAACTTCTCCCGACCCGAAGGCCCGACCCGAAGGCCACAATTTCTCCCGACCCGAAGGCCACAACTTCTCCCGACCCGAAGGCCCGACCCGAAGGCCACAATTTCTCCTGACCCGAAGGCCCGACCCGAAGGCCACAATTTCTCCACATACCCAGGGAGCTAAAGTCAATTATCAATATCAACATGCCAAGCACAATCTATCATAATTTTAGGCAAAAAATTCAATACGTCACTGGCATGTTAAGCTTAATCCCATTCAAGTCTAATTAGTCCGGTTCTTGAACCACGCACTCACATCGATCCAATTCATTGTGTCTAAGGTCCGCCATGACCAATCAAACTTGACCAATTAGTCCTCGAACATAGAGACACCCCTGAGGATATATATATATACAAACTCTAAATAGTCTCTAAATCGCCCAATTTCAAGCCATTACTCATTAGTCCATTTAATGAACAATTTGGGCAATTTAGTGCAAATTCGGATCCTTGTGAACAGTGCTGGACAGCATGCATTTTCCAGCTCTAAATCACACCTAAATAATGTTATTAAGCCTCAATTAAGTCCCTTAATCAGCCCACACACATATACACCTAATTAGGCCATAATTTAGCTTAATGAACCCTAAATTTACCCCTAAATCGCATAAAAAGACTAGTTCGGGGTTTAGGGATTTTTACTCGCCTAAAATCGACTCGAGGCGACGGGAGCGGGTGGTCGATTACCGACACGCGGTGAGAATCGACGGCGGCGCTCCGGGGCAAGCCGGCGGTCACGGCGGCGTCGGTGTGGCTCACGGCCACCTCAGCCAAAACAGGGGAGGCTGCTGGGCTTGAGGGCTGAGGACAGTGGAGAGAGAGGGACGGTGAGGGCAAGTGGTCGACGAGGGCGGCGTACGGCGAAGGACGGCGGCGCGGCGCCGGCGGGATGAAGACCGGCGGTGTTTCTCTCTCTCTCTCGCCTGGAACCACTACTGTGGGGCGGACGATTCAGAGGGTGGGGCTGGTCGACGAAGGCTGGGGCGGTGCCAGGGGGTGGTGTGCGGCGGCCTGAGGTCAGCAGCTCCGGCGGCGCGGCTGTTCCGGCGTGAACAGTGGCCGGCGGAGCATAAGGTCAGAGGAATGGCGTGAAGAGGACGATCGTGAGGGCTGCTCGGAGAGAAAGAACGTGAGCTGAGAGAGACTGAGGAGAGAGAAGAAGCAGGTCAAATGTGGTCAAACTTGGGTGAGTGGAGTCCATATGTCAACAATCCAAGGGTTTGGACAATTTGCCCTTTAATCCAATGGTCTAAGCTCATTCTCCTCCAATAATGCAAGGGTGAGATGGTCAAATGCCCCTAACCAAGGCTGAACAGGTCTGGTTTGGTCTACTTAACCTTAGTTAGTCCCCAAAATTTATCCAAAATTCGGAATAAATTAAAATGGCCTAGGGGCATTTTCGTAATTTTCCGATCCCGGACCGAAATTTCAATTTTTATCCATACCGGTCCTATATGTTCATGGGAGACATAATACGGTGTCGGATTCGCGAAATTCACTTTCTAAGCCTTCGAAAATCGCCTGCGAAGTCCCGGGAATAAAATAATATTATTTTTCCAAATTTTTGCCGAAATTCCCGTTTTTGTCCAAAACCACTCTAAATGTACGTGGCCACTCCAAAATGACCTTGGCCGTGAAAAATAACCTCAAACGGCCTCCGAATCCAGCCCCGGTACCCAACGGGGCAAAACCATAATTTTCCCCAATTTTTGTCGAAATTCCTATTTTCAGCCGTTCTTGTCCCAAACTTACTTGGCCACTATAAAACGACGTCCGTCCTACAAAATAGTCATAATTACCCTTGAAATTTTGATATCGAAGTTCGGCTCAATATCGCGATCAAAATAGTTCGTTTTAAAATCTTAGGATCTCTCACTAACGGGTGGCTGTTTAGGTGTTACGCGTATCGACCTAAGACTGTCCGAGTCTCGATAGTCTCAAATCTCGAGAGAAGGTGAGAGATTATCACTAGTACCGGGGGTCGCGATCGTTCGGATAAAATTTGGGATTTGTTTGTTAGGCGTACTTTCGGTCGTGCGGAATCACCCGCGATCCAATCGTACGTTACTACCTATATCAAATCCGTTATCTTCCTAAGATCAGCCCATATTGGCTCAAGATATTCCCTCGACGTTTCTCGAAATCAGTGTCCAATCACGATCGGTTTCTCGGTCCACATACCTGTTCCTATTTAGCCTTTCCCATTTGGTTAGTATCCCGTGATTGATCAAGTCCGGGCGAGACTCATTAAAATCACACGAGAATTAATATACGCTTTATTGGTCCCGATAACGGGTCAGAATTCAGGATGTTACAAGAGTCCAAACCTCTGATTACTAAACAGAGAGTGACAGTGAATCTGGGTGACATCAAAAACGTTAAAGAAATCAAAATCAGGGCGAGTCTTTTTAAAGTGGAGGCAAAACGAATGATTAATCTTTTGAGAGAATATCAAGATGTATTTGCATGGTCTTTTGCAGATATGCCTGGATTAGATCTGGAAATTGTGGAACATGCTTTACCAATTGATCCGAATATGCCTCCAAAAATCAAAAACTTCAAAGGACAAAGCCATAACTCTTAAAGAAAATTGAAGAGGAGGTCATGAAATTATTGAAAGTAGCCTTCATTGAAGTATCACATTATTCTGACTGGATTGCCAATATTGTCCCTGTAATGTAGAAAGATGGAAGGGTCAGAGTTTGTATTGATTATCGGGATCTTAATAAAGCAAGCCTGAAGGATGATTTTCCATTATCATAAATTGATGTCCTAGTCGATAGTATTGCCGGATTCGAGTTGTTTTCTTTTATGGATGATTTTTCCAGGTATAATCAAATCCGAATGAAAGAAGAAGATAAGAATAAAACTTCCTTCATTACTCTATAGGGAACTTTCTGCTATAAAGTGATGCCTTTTGGTTTGAAAAATGCCGGGGCAACATATCAAAGGGCAATGGTTACTCTATTTTACGACATGATGCATAAAGAGATTGAAGTGTACGTTGATGATATGATTGCCAAATCAAAACATGGTGAAGGTCACATTGAAGTTTTGAAGAGGTTATTTCATTGACTCCGAAAATTCAAGCTGAGACTTAACCCTACGAAGTGTATATTTGGGGCAAAGTCTAGGAAGCTATTGGGATTCATGGTCAGTAACCAGGGCATTGAAATAGACCCTTCAAAGATTAAGGCCATTTGTGATCTTAAAGCTCCTTCAACTGTTAAAGAAGTTCGAAGCCTTTTGGGAAGATTGAATTGCGTCGCAAGATTTATTTCTCAATTATCGGAGACGGCAAAACCTTTCTTCAAACTCCTAAAGAAGAATGCCAGGGTTGAATGGGACATTGAATGCCAAAAAGCCTTTGAAGAAATAAAGCGATATCTTTCTCACCCACCAGTTTTGATCCCACTGATTATTGGAGTGCCACTGATTCTTTATCTGACTATTCACAAAGAGTCACTGGGAGCCATGCTTGCCCAGAAAAGACCAAGTGACCAAAAAGAGTGTGCGATATATTACCTCAGTAAGAAATTCACCGTCTCTGAGATGAATTATCCTGAAGTCGAGAAGACATGTGTAGCATTGGTTTGGGTATTACACCGTTTACGTCAATACACTCTTCATCATCAAATCTTTCTTGGCAAAAGGACACCAGAAGTGCCACAACTTGTGTACGGAGATCACTTTGGTGCCATAACTTTTTTTCGGAACACTTTGGTGCCAACTTTTTTGAAAAACGATCATTTTAGTGCCAATGCTGACGTGACTCGCCGGAAATCTGATGTGGCGCTAACATGGCTCGTCGGAGAGGTCCACGGCTCGCTGGAGAGGTCCAGTCAGCATTAAAAACCAAAAACGACGTCGTTTAGCCCGCTGACGTGTACTTTTTTAGAAATTTTTTTTTAAAATTATATAGAAAAAAAACGTTGCAGTATCGGCGAGGGAGCTCTCGCCACTACTGCCGCCAACCCACCACCGCCGGGAAGGGCCGACGGTGGTGGGCGGAGTGGTCGGCGAGGGTCGTCGGCCCCTGGCCGGGGCCCGGCGACCCTCGCCGAGACCCAGCGAGGGTCGCCGGCCCCGGCCGGGCCCGGCGACCCTCGCCGAGACCCGGCGAGGGCCGGATCCGGCGAGGCGAGACCTCGCCGTCGCCCGGGTCGCGACGGCGAGGTATTGCCTCGCTCGGCAAAGGCGAAGCCGACCTCGCCGTCGTGACCCGGACGACGGCGAGGTCTCGCCTCACCTTTGCTGGGCGAGAAGCGAGGCGAGACCTCACCGTCGCCTGAGTCAGTCTTGCCTCGCTCAGCAAAGGCGAGGCCGACCTCGCCGTCGCGACCCAGGCGACGGCGAGGTCTCGCCTCGCCCAACAAAGGCGAGGTCTCGCCTCGTCAGATCCGGCCCTCGCCGACCACTCCGCCCACCACCGCCGGCCCTTCCCGGCGGTGGTGGGTTGGCAGCAGCAGTGGCGGCGAGGGCTCCCTCGCTATTGCTGCAACGTTTTTTTTTATCAAAAAATTAAAAAATTCGAAAAAAGCCACCTAATTTCCACGTGTACAAGTCATACCATTTTTTTTTAATATAAATGCCAGGTCAGCTTTTTGGCCGGAGTCCCTAAAGTAATCTATTTTCCTCCGACTTGGCACCAAAGTGATCCGAAAAAAAGTTATGGCACCAAAATGATCTCCGTACACAAGTTATGGCACTTCTGGTGTCCTTTTGCCAATCTTTCTTGTAACTGGGAATGACCCTATCAAATATCTTTTGGAAAAACCCGCCTTGGTGGGAAAGTTGGCTAAATGGAAAATTCTCATTTCTGAATTTGATGTACAAAGCTTGACGCAGAAATCTATCAAAGAAATAGCCATAGCCGACATGTTAGCTGAAAATTCCAGAGAATTGGAAAGTCCTTACGAGAATAATCTTCTGGATGAACGTATTTTAGAATTATCAAGTGACAAATGGACCATGTATTTTGATGGTGTTGTAAATTTGTCTGGTTCTGGGATTGGAGCAGTGCTGATTTCTCCGGCTGGTCAACACTATCCAGTAGCTGCTAAATTGGTATTTCCATGTACCAATAACATCTCGAAGTATGAGGCTTGTATTCTTGGTTTACTGTTGGCCATTGACATGAAGGTCAGAAAATTACAAGTCTATGGTGATTCTGCGCTCATTATCCTTCAAACTGAAGGCTTATGGCGAACAAGAGATTCCAAATTTATTCCGTACCATGGGTTCCTTGAAGAATTGTTGAAGGAATTTGAAGAAATATCATTTGAGTATTTGCCGAGATCCCAGAATCAGTTTGCTGATGCTTTGGCCACATTATCATCGATGTTGCAAGTGATGAAAGGATTGGACACCGAGCTATTGAGAATTGAGATTCTTGAACGTCCGGCTTATTGCATGACAATTGCAAACGAACCCGATGGCAAACCATGGTATTACGATATCATGATTTATCTTCAGAAAGGAGAATTTCCTCGAGGAAGTGAAATGGTTGATAGAAAATATTTGGAAAAATTGGCATCAAAATTTTTCATTAGTGGCGGTGCACTTTATATAAGATCCTTTGATTCAATCAGTGGATATTTCTGGTTAACCAGGGAAACTAATTGTATCCGACATGTCCGATATTGTCACCGGTGTCAAATTTATGGAGACAAAATTAATGTCCCGCCAAATGAACTACATCAAATGTCTAAACCATGGCTATTTTCAATGTGGAGCATCAACATCATTGGGCCGATAAATCCTAAAGCTTCCAATGGGCATCGCTTTATCTTAATAGCCATCGATTATTTCACGAAATGGATTGAAACAAGTTCTTATGCTAATGTTACTGCTAAAAATGTGGCCAAATTCATTTGTCGTGATATCATTGCTCGTTATGGAGTCCCAGAAGCGATCATTACTAACAATGGCTCAAATCTGAACAACAAGATTGTGGATGAGTTACTTAATGAATTTCATATTCGTCATCTAAATTCTTCACTATACCGCCCTCAAATGAATGGAGCAGTGAAAGCGGCCAACAAGAATATAAGAAAGATTCTGTCTAAGACAACGGATAATTACTGTGATTGGCATGAACGATTACCATACGCATTGATGGCATATCAAACTTCGATCCGTACCTCAACTGGGGCAACACCCTTCTCACTTGTCCTACCTGTGGAAGTAGAGATTCCATCATTGAGAGTCCTTTTGCAAGTCAAACTTTCCGAAGCTGATTGGATTCAACAAGATATGATCAGTTGAATATGATTGATGAGAAAAGACTAAAAGCATTATTCCATGGTCAATGTTACCAGAAACAGGTTGCAAAGTCTTTTAATCGCAAGGTTCAACCGAGACACTTCGAAGTGGATGATCTTGTATTGAAGAAAATATTATCTGATGTACCAGAACCGCGTGAGAAGTTCACTCCAAATTATGAAGGCCCATATGTTGTCAAGAAAGTATTACCGGGAGGTGCTTTAGTTCTTATAGAAATAGATGGTCGAGAATTGCCAAAACCTGTAAATGCCGATGCAGTGAAAAAGTACTTTCCATGAATAAAATCAGAGGCCCGAGAGACATTTTGGATGCAATCTATGTTACTTTGAGTTGTTGATATCATGCATATCATGCATACATGCATATGTGTTTTGCTTTACAGGCTCTAAATAATACTCAACAAATGAATGAAAGATGAAAGATGAATATGGTGTAATTTATGTTCACCCTTCTAAGGAATCATAAATGATCGTTCTACATGACGAGATAAATGAAGGGAGTTGTCAAACATCCAAGAAGGCGAATTCAAATGAGGGGAGTTGTTAAGCATTCAAGAAGGAGAACATCCAGACGTTTAAAGACAAATGCGAGAAAAGGGTAATGTTGTATCGTTTCCAATTATCCAATCCTTTAAAATTCATGTTCTAACACATTTTTTTTTCAATTTTTACAAGGTAGCCAGGTCGTCATGCTGCAGGTAAAAATAACCTTCTCCCTAAAATCAAACGGAAATCAAATGAAGAATTTTCATCACAAAGAGAGATTCTTTAATGTTTTTTTTCGAAAACAAGCACAAATGAGAAAAATAAGCACAATAATGGAAATTGTGAAAACAAACTCCTCCCAAAAGTTTTGAATATCATTTTTATCTAAAAGTTGTCCATTTGCTTGATAGATCAATCATTTTGAATCAAGTTTCCCTACAAAGATTAATCTACTTAGATGATCTCAACAAGATGAAAAGGAGATTTTAATTATGCCAAGCAAGAAATACTTAGAATGAAAAAAGGTAAGCCATTCCCAAACACGTCCTATAAACACTTTGAGAGTTGAAAAAAAAAACCGTGTCGTTTAAGGACAAGTGATTCATTTGCGAATAGTACATGGATCAAAATGAAAAGAGGCATTTCTTTCCTTTACCCTACACACTACATGTGTCCATAGTTAACCCATTTGAGCTTTTAAATGCGAAGAATTTTTTACAAAATACCCCTATCAAGAACCACCCCACAATATGGCAAATTTGGAGGTTTTGGTTGACATTTTGTGGAGGAAAAGATGAGAAAGATTTCTTTGCTCTCACTTGCATCAATCTTTCTATTGTAACTTCATGTGAATCCTTATGGAAACTCGAAGCATCCCAAAATGAAGAAGAGCATTTATTTCTCTACCCAAACACTTATACCCATTGCTAAGCCAAGTTGAACCTGAATATTCATTTCTAAAGCCCAAGTGGTGATTGTCTCCCTACACAGGGGCAAAGCACGTGATTTACCAAGATAATTGGTACTCATGAGACAATGCGGAAAACATCTAGAAAGTCCAAAAAGCTAAAAAAAATAAAAAAAAATCAAAAGAGCCAAAAGTCAAATGAAAACTAGGGGGCATGAAAAAGCAGTGTGCCTAGTAAAAGTAAGGCCAGTGCCCATTGTTAAAAAAAAGAAGAAGAAAAGGGGTAGCATCAAGAGAAAAATTCTTATGTGAGGAAAAAGCATCAAAAGCAAAATGCTTGCATGAAAAGAAAATCATTGCAAATGCAAAAGTCATTAGAGAAAAGAGCAAAACTCTTGTGTTGAAATGATTGGCCAGTGGACTTTTGAGACAAATTAAATTTTAGAGTCAAGTACATTCGAAACAATCGGATGATATGGTAATGATGCCATGATAATCACCAACTCTTAAATCCCTTTTGAAAATATTCTGAACCTTTCAAGCCTTTAGCCGAACCAACATTACAACCCTTTCCCAAAGCCTCTTCTAATTGGGATGATTCAAGTGAAAACAAGGACTTTCCAAAGAAGCTACCGCTTAAAGAAGTGAAAGCAAGGTTGTCTCATCTTATCTCAAGGTTTCTTGACTTGTAAACCTGACGAAGATGATCGATGATTATTTCATTTCTGAGCTGCTAATGCTTATCCTTTGCTAAAACCATGACCAAGCCCGCATTACCGTCCTTATAAAAGACCTCATGGATTGGTCAATGTGTACATAATGCGAATGATTCTCAAAACCTTCGATACTGGTAATGAGAGGTATATTGAGTGATCAAATCTATTTCCTACATCAATGGATGGGATTAAATATCCTTCTTGAGAGTATGTAAGAAGCCCTTTCTGACTAAGGAGTTCTCATTTTGGCATACTTATAAGCCTTTTTCACAAGTCAAGGTTATTTGACAAAGATTTTTCTCTTAAAAGAATTTGAGAATCGATGATATCTTTCAAGCCTGATGGCAGTTTTATGATATTGAATGATGTTTAATGTTTCCAAACAATTGAAATTTGATTGATTTGCTCATGCAATCAATGTTTTCTTATTGATAACAGTCTTATGATGTTGTCCTTCATGGCATTTGAATGATACTGATCTCGCTTGGTATGTTTTTGCTACTAGGGCATATGTTATAACACATTTCGTCACATGTGCAGATGCCTTCTCGGAATTTCTTCAATGTTTGACAGTTACAGTGAGCTTTAACAATTCGAAATTATTTTACATGAGGCACGTCTCTCTACGTGAAAACCTAATTTCAAAAGGTTCCGGGTTTTTCCTTAAACCTTGATTTTCAAACGGTTCCGGGTCTTTCCTTAAACCCTAATTTTTCAAAACGGTTCCGGGTCTTTCCTTAAACCCTGATTTTTCAAAACGGTTCCGGGTCTTTCCTTAAACCCTGATTTCCAAAAGTTCCGGGTTTTTCCTTAAACCCTGATTTCAAAAGATTCTGAGTTTTTCCTTAAACCCTGATTTTTTAAATGGTTTCGGGTTTTTCCTTAAACTCTGATTTCCAAAGATTCCGGGTTTTTCCTTAAACCATGATTTCAAAAGGTTCCGGATTTTTCCTTAAACTCTGATTTTTCAATTGGTTCTGGGTCTTTCCTTAAACCCTGATTTTTCAAATGGTTCCAGGTCTTTTCTTAAACCCTAATTTCCAAAGGTTCTCTTTCCTTAAATCCTGATTTCCAAAGGTTCCAGGTTTTTCCTTAAACCCTGATTTCAAAAGGTTCCTGGTTTTTCCTTAAACCTTGATTTTTCAAATGGTTCCGGGTCTTTCCTTAAACCCTGATTTCAAAACGGTTCCGGGTCTTTCCTTAAACCCTGATTTTTCAAATGGTTCCAGGTTTTTCCTTAAATCCTGATTTCAAAACGGTTTCAGGGCTTTTCTTAAACCCTGATTTTCAAATGGTTCCAGGTCTTTCCTTAAACCCTGCTTTTTCAAATGGTTTCGGGTCTTTCCTTAAACCCTTATTTTTCAACATCAAGTCCATATGTATCTTCGTCATATGTCAATAATTTTCAAGTGTCACCTTATCTTTAAAAGGAACCTATTCGAGTTTCTTTTCAAAGAGGGGCAGTTGTTGACACCCGAATTTTTATCGATCATCCAAGCCTCCGTTTCTTTGGCAAAATTATAAAGATAGAAATTTTCTAAAAAAAAATTCATTTGGGCCTAATTCATTGGTTAGCCCATTCTTTTTTCAATTTTACTTTCAGCCCAGCCTTTCCTTTACTTTATTTCCTTTCAGCCCATTTATCTTACGGAAGACCAACCCATTGGCTCTTTTCCCATCTCTTCCTTACGCTCACTTTGGTGAGCAAAGGAACAGGAAGGTGACGAAGAGGGATAGTGACGAACGCCCTTCGTCCGTGTGCGAACCGGAGGTGACCAAAGCAAATCCGATGGAGGTTCTAGAAGAATAGATGAGCTAGCTAGTCGGTTGGAGATAAAAGAAAAGATTCTGGAGCCGGAGTGGATAAAAATCGAGGGAGAAAGAGTTGGCTGGGGAGAGTTCCATTGGAAAAGAAAAAACATCGGAAAGGAAGAAAAGGGAGGAAAAGGTATCAGAGGAGAGCGTTTCAGTGCTTTTTGATCGGAAAAAGTGTCGGACAAATCTTCTCCCTTTCCTCTTCCATTCATCATCTCTGGAGGTTACTGGAGATTCGGATCGCTTGCTGAAGTCCAATTTTCCGAAACCGATTTCATCATTTTTTTCATCCAAAATCACGTTGGAATCATAGTTCATTCGTCGAGAAAGTGGAAGCATAGCTGGACGTCCCTTGCCATCGCTGATTGAAGCTCCGTTTCTGTCCATGTGAGTTACTTAGATATGCCTTGCTTTGCTTTGTTTTTTACTCATCTATGGAGCTTAAAAGCCTTGGACTGAATCAATGAGACTTTGGATCAATAGTGTGATATAAAAGCTGTGCCATGGAACATAATGATGATTTGGATTGTGATATATCAATGTCAAGCTGAGAATTGCTCTAAAACTGAGTCTAGAATTTATGTTTTAAGCTATACATCAACTGTTCGCTGAAATGCTTGAATGAGATGTTATGATTTTAGAATACCGAATTTGATTGTGAAAATTCGGCAAAAGTACACTTTGGTGCCATAACTTGTGTACGGCGATCACTTTGGTGCCATAACTTTTTTTCGGATCACTTTGGTGCCAACTTTTTTGAAAACGATCATTTTAGTGCCAATGCTGACACGGCTCGCTAGAAATCCGATGTAGCGCTGACACGGCTCGCTGGAGAGGTCCACGGCTCGCCGGAAAGGTCCAATCAGCATTAAAAACCAAAAACGACGCCGTTTAGCCCGCTGACGTGTACTTTTTTTAAAAAAATTAAATTATATTAAATAAATAAAAGCCTGCAGCAGCGGCAAGGGAGCCCTCGCCGCTGCTACCGCCAACCCACCACAGCCGGGAAGGGCCGGCGATGGTGGGCGCAGTGGTCGGCGAGGGCCGGATCCGGCGAGGCGAGACCTCGCCGTCACCTGGGTCGCGACGGCGAGGTCTCGCCTCGCCCAGCGAAGGCGAGGCCGACCTCGCCGTCGCGACCCAGGCGACGACGAGGTCTCGCCTTGCCCAGCAAAGGCGAGGTCTCGCCTCACCGGATTCGGCCCTCGCTGGGCTCGGCGAGGGTCGCCGGGCCCCAGCCAGGAGCCGGTGACCCTCGCCGACCACTGCGCCCACCACCGCCGGCCCTTCCTGGCGGTGGTGGGTTGGCGGCAGCGGTGAGGGCTCCCTCGCCGCTACTGCAACCTTTTTTTTTA